GACATATATACACTTGTTTGAAAATTATTTTAACTAATATATTTCGCGTTTTAAACCGTTAAATGGAAAATAAACAGAAATATTAGATGATGCCAGTAACTTTGTTCGCGTAGAATAGTTATTTTCGAAATTTGCTCTTGCAAACCTTCTCAGCCTCATAAATTGTTGTGTTTATCTCAAAAGGTAGACAAATAGTGTCGTGGATGTTTTTTTTTTTAAATAATTTAAAGAGGAATCATTCTTTCATGTATATTTCTAGGTAACCTGAACCGTTTTCTCAGCGTACTATGTACGTAGCGCATACGGAATAATTATCCTAGTTTTTTTTTTTAATGGACCCTTCGTTTTGTGTTCCCAAGGGAACAACAAACACACGGGGGGGGTGGGGGGGGCGGGCGCCGGCGCCGTGGGTGGCGGCGGGCGGGGGGCGGGGGCGGGGGGGGGGGGGGGGCCCCGCCCCGCGCCCGGCGGGGGGGGGGGGGGAGGAGGGGGGGGGGGACGCCCCCCCCGGGGGGGGGCGGGCCGCGGCCCCCCCCCCCCCCCCCCCGCGGGGGGGGGGGGGGGGGGGGGCCCCCCCCCCGGGGCCCCCCCCCCCCCGGGGAAAGGAGGGGGGCGGGGGGGGGGGGGCCGCCCGGGGGGGGGGGGGGGGGGGGCGGGCCCCCCCCCCCCCCGGTTTTTGGGGGGGGGGGGGGGGGGGGGCCCCCCCCCGGGGGGGGGGGGGGGGGGGGGGGTTTTTTTTTTTTAAAGGGAGGGGTTTTTTTTTCCCCCCCGGGGGGCGGGGGGGGGGGGGGGGGGGGGGGGGTGGGTTTCGGCCCCCCCCCCCCCCCCCCGGGGGGGGGGGGGGGGGGGGGGTTTCCCCCCCCCCCCCCTTTTCCTGGGGGGGGGGGGGGGGGGGGGGGGCGGGGGGGGGGGGGGGGGGGGGGGGGGGGGAATTATCCCAGTGCTTCCCACATTTCCCACACAATATTTTTTTCAATTCGAACCAGTAGTTCCCGAGATTAGCGTGTCCAAACAAACAAACTCTTCCCCTTTACATATTAGTATAGATTACAAATAATTAAGAATTCCTTTGAATTTGAATATTCCTCTTTTCATTAATCGCGTTGAGAATACTAAGCAGTCAGTAGTTTTTGACACATTTTCATGACCCTGCTTACCTGGGCACAATTTAACCAGCGTAATGCTATGCTGCTCACGATTCGGAACCGCCGGCTGCTGGCTGCAACTCGGATTAGAACAAAATCAGCAACTAAATACGTGTTTTGAAAATATATCAATAAGTACATTTAAATAAAACACTTTAACGGTTTAGAACGTGATATATATTAGTTAAACTTATTTGAAAATTATTTTTACTGTGGCCCGACCTTTCGGATGCTTTGCAGCAGCCGTGGTCACGGGGAGATATATATCGCGTTTTAAACGGTTACAATGATTTATTTAAATGTGTACTACTCGCGTAAACTACAGACAGTACTTAGTGTAATCCTTTAACATTTTTATCTAAAACTTACAATAATTTATTAATATAACACAAAAATAGTTTATCTATAAATTGCAACAAAGGCATCTCTATAATCTGTGGTCGGACTCGAATGTTCTGTGAGATCGTTCCGGCGGCCATTTTGCTGTGTCTCGTCGCGTCGTCGCCGCATTTCCACTTGAGACTAAATCCCAAATGTAATGTCTTCTGATTCTCAATAGCTCCTTCGGTATCGCTTGCATTGACACAACTAAGGATGGCCCCGAAAAGAAAAAGTGTAGGCTGATTTACTTTAATTGTGGTAGAAATATCGAAAATTCCGTCCGGGTTACGAAACACCGCCCACAGATGAAAAGAGGCCGTGAAGTTAAATCGCGATTTCAGTCTGTGGATTTCCGAATGTCCTAAGTCAAAATGGGTCGACAGCGCATCGTGTCCAGATGTTATATTCCGCGCATCAAGTGAACACCGAGCCTTCTTCCTCCTCTATAATTAAAAAAATTATATATGTACGCCCGTAATACACATTTTACTAAAACACTTTTAACCTTTCAAAACGCGAAATAAATTAGTTGCCTTCTAATTGGTAAACTTCAGAAACGACGGGCCGTAGATATAATAAATTGTAAAAATTAAGTCATACATTTCGCATTTTAAACCGTTAAGAAGTGTTTTTGATTTAAATACGTAATTCCTCATCATTATTTATATTAGTTAAGTAGTGTAGGACAAAGATGGCGTCCACTTGATGGTAGCTGAAATACAAACAACTAATAAGAGATGGGCTGCAACCGACGCGATAATACGTTGCGATTTTTCCTAGAAGGCATTTCGACATTCTAAACACCCATTTAATATTCAGAAATCGATATGTTTAGACCCGTTAAATATCGAAAAAAACGACCCGTTACTACCAAAGAGATCAAAATTTATTTCACAGCTGTTTCGTAAGATACAACTCCTAAGCAGCTAATTAACGTCGCTACGCTTATTAAATTCTGTACAATCCGTCTCAAATGTAATCCGAAAAACAATTGTGGAATGCAACGATGCATGGTTGGCCCATATAATGGGAAAGTCTGCTGCTGGCCTTATTAGCGCAATTAGCTATAATTGGTTTTAATCATCAAGACGCCGACTTCCGTACTTTTAGATGTTTAACGTTGTGACTTGGTCTTTTACTTTTTTTACTAGTCGTTTAATTCTGTTTTAAATACCGGGTTTTTTCTTATTGCCATTGGGCGATAAACAAAATAAAAATAATAAATTAAATTAATATTTTATTGGTTTGAAAATTATATTTAACTACTGCCCGACGTTTCGGAAGCTTCGCAGCAGCCGTGGTCACGGGGAGACCGCTTCCAAAACTGCATCCGAAACTTCGGGCCGTAGTTAAAAATAATTTTCAAACAAGTTTAACTGAAATATATCGCGTTTTAAACCGTTTAAGTGTTTTATTTAAATGTGTACTACTCGAGTAAACTACAGACAGTATTGAATAATAAATTATACTATCAAGCGTTGTCACACGACACAGAATAGGAAAGCCATCACATTAAGAACAAGATGAAGTCGCTTAATGAACAAGCATTTTTGTGACGTGGGCGGTGTGGTTATTAGTCCAGCGCCCTTGCGTTTGCAAATTAAGCCGAGACGTGAACGACACCACAAAAAGAACTCATTGTTCGGGGTTGAAAGACAAACAATTTAGAATTTCTATAATCATATAATCAATATTATTTATTTATAATACCTTTCGTTTGTTGTATCTTGTTTATAATCTGTGCAAATTTTACACGTTACGTGCAAGTATTATCTATACTTTGTTTCTAGTTTATCTGTGCATTTTCAGTCTTAGATGAATCACACAAGCATATTGTTAAGGTTAATGTTTAAGGTTTTGTGTTTAAATGAGTACAGATTAACAAATAGTTAAGTAGTTATTAAAGATGGGTTGAAATTTTACGTTTCAACGGGTCAATTGTATAACAGATGTTTTTATTAACAATGTCCACGTAGATTATATGGAAAGATGTGGACTCAGACAAAATGAAGTATGTATTCACACCTAGTTATCAGATATTTGTGTAACTTTTAGTATTTCTTAACAGTTTAAAACATGAACTATAAGAGTTAATGAAATCATAACCACGACCCGACATTTCACATGCGTTAGTACAACATTTATATGTAACCGTGGCGGCTAAGAAGTATCCAAAACGTAGTTTTTAATAATCTAAAATGTAACACATTTTTAGAGTTACGCGTTGTTTTATTAAGATAATTAACACATTCATAACTTGGACATTTTTAAATCCCCTTCAAGTTGGCATTTCGTTATAGTATTTTCGGACCTCCAATAAAAATAAACCACTAATATAGAACGCTTACAGCTTCATAATTTCATTACATAAGGACACCCACACAAACTCAATTTAAGCGGATTGTCGGCTTATCGTCTTACTGCGTCGACCATTTTTTACAGTAGCAAAGAATAAGAACGATTTAGGGACTCGGAAAAAAATTGTCAACAAAGAACTGATCCCGAACGCTGTAAGCGGGTTTTTCGAATTCCGTGACTCAAATAATTACGTTTCGGGGTTGCCTTAAAAATTAGTGTCGAATTATTCATAATTCTTGTAGAGAACTATAATACGATATTCGACTAACACACGCCTACAAGCTAACCTATCAATGTTTTCCATCTATAGTCCAAAAAACAAAACAGCGCACGCTGTTTTGTTTTGAGACCGGCCGGATTCTTTCAAATCCCCACACCCTCTTAGTTTTTTTTAATAGCCAAAAACAGACAAGCATTTGGATATTCGGAAATCCATAGAAAGAAACTTCACGGCTTTTTTCACCTTCCTACCATTTTATATCCAGATTTCCAGACGAAGTCTAATATGTCTCGAAAAATTAGTTGGAACCCCCGACCCGTTGATCGTTGGCCACACATTGCTACCATTACAATGAGCCCAAGTTATTGAACTGTTATTTCAATCTGCACATTACACATAAGCTTATTTATATGCTGTTATTTGCGAAAGTCAGTGCAGTCGAGACGTAGATGCCAATCTTAACCATATGTCAATGTCAAACCGGTGATGCAGGAATCGAGTCTGCGTCCCAGGCATGCGCATGAGTCTATTATAATCAAATATTGTTAAGATTGAAATTACATATAATGTGTACGATAATTACTAGTTTCTAATTTAATTATATCTGATAGTAAAGATTGAATTACTGTCTTTTAAATAATACACTTTGACGGTTTAAAACGCGATATATTAGCAGTCTCCCCGCCCTGACCATGGCTGCTGCAAAGCATCCGAAACGTCGGGCCGAAGCTAAAAATCATTTTCAAATAAGTTTAACTAATATATCGCGTTTTAAATCGTTAAAGTGTTTTATTTAAATGTGTACTACTCGCGTAAACTATAGACAGTATTTGAATTACTTTTTTTTTATAAATACACTTTGTTTTTGTAATCTATCCATCTTAAGCGCTTTGATAATGCCCACTCCTGGGATTCAGGTCTCAAAGAGGCGTTTTTCAAGTCAAAGTTTCAGCAAATAAATCTTTTGTATTTCGAAATCCTTGTTAAGTCGAAAACAAATTCACTCGTTTCTTTAAGCTTTTCCTCTGAAATTCGAGTTATCGAGATTCCATTGTACTATGTAAATTGAAACGTGTCGTTTTTGTATTTCAGAGCAGCGTCGGTTGTCGATCGTCTAGCGGCGTAAGCGCGGGCGCAGTGACGGTCGCGGCAGCGGGCGCGGGCGGCGCGTGCGCAGGGCGCATGGCGAGCGCGGGCGCGCAGTTCCGCGGCGGCACGCAGCAGTGGGCAACGGCGTACGCGCCGCAGCCCTGCCGCTACCCGCCGCCGCAGCCGCAGCCCTACGCGGCGGCACCCAGCCCCTACACCCCGCACCAGGTACGTACGTTAGTGAAGACTATAAGCATTCTCAGGAGGGGTAGCTCCCCGTTTGCCCCCCGACAACCCTAATAGTCGATAAGCAAAATCTTTTTATCCGAAAGATATGTTCTACGTACATAAGATAAAATGCTAAGCTAAACTATATGCTAGTGATTTCGTCCGCGTAGAATTGTGGACGTTAAATTTTGTTTTTTCAAACCTCCTCAGCTTTTAAAGTATAACTATTAACCACGTTTTTCGCGTCCCATTCTCCAAAAGACAAACATATAACTGCCGCTGACAATTTTTTCATACATACTTAAACCAAAGATTATATTTTCCCTTTTTTTCACATTTCCCGCTGTTTTTTCGCCCCTATTTAGTCACAGTGATGTCTTAACCTTCCTCTAACCACAAAAATTTTTTCAATTCGAACCATAGTTTCTAGATTACCGTTCAAACATACAAACAAACTCTTCAGCCTCATATATTAGTATAGATTAAGATTACTATCACCATCTACACAACACTACACGTAACAATGTAATGACAGTTATAGCGAACAACACCCAGTTTTAATAATGAGAATCATTGTTAAGCGACTTTAAGAATTGGACAGTGTCCCATCATTTAAATAAAACACTAACGGTTTAAAACGCGATGTATATTAGTTAAACTTATGAAAATTATTTTAAGTACGGCCCGATCACTGAACTCGGGTTACCCCTGTGACCACGGCTACTGCGAATCATCCGAAACGCGGGACACGTTACAGTAATTACTGAGTAAAGTAATTTTGTCACACTCGATTGTAATCAAGGCGAGCTAGAGAAGTTTAAAATATAAATATTATAAGGCCGAAGATTATCGTATCTACGGCCCGACGTTTTGGATGCTTTACAACAGCCGTGGTCACGGGGAGACCAAAGATGGAGGATGTCTCTGACGTCAAAGCCAAAACTGCTACGCTAGCGCCATCTGTTCCGTCGAAGTTGGTATTTTCAAATCAGTGCAACTAATATATATTGCGTTTTAAACCGTTAAAGTGCTTTATTTAAATGTGTACTGATCGCGTAAACTACAGACAGTAATGTCCCATCAGTTCCTAACCTCTTGTGATTATATTAAACAAACAATATCTCCGATGATTGATGATATCTTGAAACTTTCGGGGCGCGGTTCGTCTGTAACTAGTTGCTAGGTTCTAATTAACTTAGATCCTTATTAGCTTGCACTTCCGTCGGGTTAAGCGTAACTATACTAATTACACATTTAAATAAAACACTTTAACCGTTTAAAACGCGGTATATTAGTTAAACTTATTTAAAAATGATTTTTAATTTCGGCCGACGTTTCGGATGCTTTACAGCAGCCGTGACGTTAACTAATTTTTCGCGTTTTAAACCGTTAAAGTATTTTATTTAAACCTTAACTATCATGTTTCTCTTTTCGCTGTTTTATTTGAAACTAGCTGTGTCAGCGACTTCGTCCGCGTAGAATTATGATTTTGGGCATCCAAATTTGTTTTTACATACCTTCTCTCCATCTTTATAAGTTATACCGTCCCGTCGTTCTTGCAAGTTAATCTTAAGAGATAGACATACTGTCGCGGACATTTTTTTAGATCAGTCACAGGAATCATTCCTTCATACATATTTTGGACCGTTTTCGTAACGTATTCAACGATGTCTTTAAAGATAATTTAAAGAGAAACACTTCGTTCAACCTTTTCGGAGCCATCAAAAATAAATGTCCCGCTTCTTCCCACATAATCCACTGTGCCTTCGCTCCTATTGATGTTTTTAAGCCTAAATAATACCTTCCTCGATATATGATCTGTTTTCCTCTATATTATTATTGGAGCTAAGGTAAAAAGTGTAAAAAATATATATTTGAAATACAGTCTTCATCTTGATTGAATTCACCTTGCCACGTAAATTTAGCACCGTCTGTAGTTAACACGAGTACACATAAAAAATTATCCGTTTAAAACGCGAAAAGTATTAGTTTACTTATTTTTCATAAATTATTAACCACGGCCCGAGGTTTCGGATCCCTTGCAGTGGACACGAAACATGTTTCAAAAATATATTTTTCGTTTTAAACCGTTAAAAATCGTTTATTAAAACGTGAACTACTGCGTAAACTATATACAATAGATACCAAATAAAAACGATCAGTAACACAGCACGGTTGACACAGATATGTGTTCGCCCCATGCCCCACAGTAGGAAATGGGGTCTCACATTGCACAGTTAATAATATCGGTGTTCGAAGCAATTTCACCCCAAACCAAGTTTACCGAGTAACACAAACCAGATGTCGCGCTGAATGGGAGACAACACACTCGTGTGAGTCTTTAAACGTTCGTTACAAAAACGTAGGGAAGATACTATCTTGAGGGGGTTTGGGGGGGGGGGGGGGTTGTTGCTGTAATGAAATGAACCTCCCATTTATTTCACCACCCTGAAAAAAAACTGTAAAGAAAATACGGAATAGATTATTTTTTTTGTGTAAGATGCGCCGTCGACCTATTTGGCTTTGTATATTACATAATAGATAGAAGCATATGATAAATAAAAACATTGTTGCTCAATTGATAGAACGGTGCGCTTCGTTGTTGTCGCAGGTTCGAGTCACGTCCCTGTCATTTTTTTCGACAACGGATTGACAACGGATATTAAATTTATGTAACGTAGATCTTTAACAAGACTATGACACACATTGCAGTTTACGCCAGCAGTACACATTAAAATCGATTTTAACGGTTCAAAACGATACATAAAATAGTTTATATACTTTTTGTTTTCTTAAATAAATACATTTGAAGCCAAAATAAGTCAACAGCGCATCGCTGCATTAAACTGGGGTATATCACCTAACATCGAGTGAACTCCACGCTTGACTGTCCTACTCTAATCATTAGAAAAATGGGCCGACAGCGCATGGCTCGAACGAACTCGTCTGTCTTCTATTGCAAAATGATTCAAAGAATCCCTCGTCTTATCACTTTTGCAATAAAACGTCGGGCTTCGTACGTGTTTTATTACGAATCTGGAATTTATCTCGCCGTGAACCGCTGAGTTTTTATCTACCTGTTACTTTTCGCATCTTTACGAGTGTCTGATAACGATACGTGTTATAACTTGTGCTATCTGCGGAACTATTTACGTAGACTCTACTAGAGCTAAAATATTTCATAAAATCGATATGTTTTTAAAAGAGTATAGTATTAAATACCGTCTATAGTTTACACGAGTAGTACACATTTAAATAAAACACTTTAACGGTTTAAAACGCGATATATTAGTTAAACTCCGTTAGGCAAAGCATCCGAAACGTCGGGCCGAAGTTAAAAATCATTTTCAAATAAGTTTGACTAATATATAGCGTTTTAAACCGTTAAAGTGTTTTATTTAAAAGAGTATAGTATTAATTAAAAATTTATTTTAGCTTGAAACAAATTTTACGACACTAACGAAAAAAAATCGTTCGAATTTCAAACTGTTAAAACTATTCTATGAAGTGTCAATTCGAATCGTACAAATATCTCGTATTGTGCCTAAAACACAAATAAACAACGAACCACCCACACTCCCAACAGAGCTCTGCCCGTCCTAAAAAAGGCAATATTTTAGCGTCGACAGTGGCTCTGCCCGAGGATAAGTGGCCCGTTTGATTGGGAATAACTTCACATCGGCTGTTAAGTATCTTTGTACAATTGATTGATGGTTAGTATATGTCTCCCGTCACGAGAATCACAACCGTCATCTTGTTAAATCCGTCACGATCGTTGCTAGGGCTGCCACAGAGCAAAAAAAAAAAAATTAAATACAGCGACACAAAGACGACAATGTGATAAAATCCACCAGTTTTACCCTAAAAAAGAAAAGACATACATTCCCTTTTATTGTAAACTAGCTATGTCGACGACTCCGTTTCAAAATCAATCAAAATTTGTTTTTGCAAACCTCCTCATCTCTACAAAATATAGCTGTTACTGTGGGTAACAGCTGTTACAAGTTGTTGTATCACCTGAAAGACTAAAACGTCGCTTATATATTTCGCGTTTTAAACCGTTGATTTTTTTTCTTAAAATTTGTTATACATAGAATACTTTAAGTATAATTTTTAATAGTATTTTATAATAAGGATTTATTAATCTACGGCTGGCAACCCTATTCAAGAGCTCATGCCATAACAGAGTGGTTTTTTGGTGAAAGGATCCCTTTTACTCCAAGAAGCGCATTAAGTGCTTAATTCACTGTTGTTGTGTCCAAATGGAGTAATCCCGGTGATAACTCCACATATTTTGGGATCGGGTTATTCGAAATAAGCGTTTTTTATGATAACTTCTGTTACTGTCCTATTGAACACCTCGACGTTCGATATCTAAATAAAAACAGATATATTTCTCGGTTTAAACCGTTGAAATTGTGAGTAATTATTCCTGCACGAGGAAGTGAATAGGTAGCTGCCTTTTTGACGTTCTCATTTCTGAATAAGAACCGATATAGGTATTTCTCGTTTCAAACCGTCAACACTGTTTTATTTATATAGTACCTCACGGCGCAATATGTTTAAATAAAAACCGATATATTTTGCCTTTAAAACCGTTAAAATTGTTTTATTGGAATAGTACAATATGGTGCATTAAGTGTGGAACTATTTTTACATAAGGAATTGGATCGGTAGATGCCTTTTTGACGTTTATTGACATATCTGAATAAGAACCGATATATTTTTCGTTTTAAACTGTTAAAACTGTTTTATTTCAATATTACAACACATTGAAATATGTGAGGAACTATTATGGATACGGAAGTGGATCGGTAACCACCTTTTGGACGATTATTGTCATGCAACGGTTTATTTTAGTACAATACGGCGGGGCACGCACATATGTGACCCCTGTCGGGCCCACGGTATAAATAAACAAGGCCCGCTGATATCTGTCATCCGAGGGAATTAGATTTATTTCTGCCGCGGCGGAAGGTGAAGGACCCTCGCCCCCTGGG